ACAGCACCGCCCGCCCTCCAGGCATGTCACGAGCTGGGCGCTGCACTCTTGCCCCTGTGCTTGCTTGTGTTCTCTGCTGTGAATGTGTGACGAGAAAAAAATCAATAGGTGCCGCTGTAGTGAAAAGCAGCCCCCCACGCAGGCTTGGAGGCGGGGGCGGCAGCCACGCGGAGCTAGCCTCGGGGTGGCTGGGACACAGCCCCGGGGCCCTGGGGGTGCCCACGGGAGTGAGGCCAGGGCCACTGTGACCTGGGCGTGAGCCCTCAGTGCCACATGATGCCCACTTCACTTGGGTGTTCTGTGGACAACAAAACGGCAGTCCTTGTGTCCAAGGGGACGTCCAGGCCCAGGAGACAGAACCTTCACTTAGTCGGGTTTCTTTCTCTCCCCAGCTCTCTTTCTGTGTCTGTCTGTCTTTCTCTCTCTCTGTCTTTGTGTGCCTTTCTGTCTGAGCTCTTCTTTCTTCCTTTCTCTGCCTGACTCTGTCTCTGTCTGTCTGTCTCGAGGGAGAGATCTGCAAGTCTTCAGGGTAAAAACTCAAGTCATAGGGGGTCAAGGGTAAATTCACCTCAGTTGCTAATATTTCCCCTGAGACCACAAAGCTGGAATCACTGTCTCCGAAATAGGGTGTGGTGACAATGGCTCAGAGCCATCCTTCAGGGGATGCCTAGGCCATCTCCACAGATGCGGCCTCTGTCGAGGACCCAAAGGAAACACGTTTCCAGAACCTTCGTGTGGCCGGCTCCGCTGCTTCTCGCACTGAAGGCAAAATGCTGGTCTGGTGGCCAAAGAGCCTTTCTACCTCCTGAGTCCTGCGAGAGCACCAAGCAAGGCTGGCGGTGCTGCCCGACCTCCTCCAGTGGTGGCTCGAAGCTGTGCCGTCCCTCGCCTGGACGTTCTCCATCTATGGCAAGGCCGGATCTTAAGGAAGTGCAGGACGGTGTTGGTTTCGCTTCCTAAGATCTCTCTAGACCATGGTAGAGAATCTGGCCAGCGGTCCTGGGAGACACGTGAGGCCGTGGAGGTCACCAAGTGCGGGACGAGCTTTCTCCAGCTCAAGTCGCGTGGCTGGGAGGTGTGTGGAGCCCGAGGTGCCTGGCGCTAACCACGGGTCCCAGGGCCTCGTGGGAGCAAAGCTGCTGTCACCTTCAGAGCGGCTGGAGCAGCTCACTCACCTTCTCACTAGGCCATAACTATTCTAATTAGGAAACATCCAAGATGAATGGGATTAGCGAGCGGCAGGCCTCGTGCAGGAGCAGCTCCTGAACCGCTGCGTCTCATCACATTCCCTCCTGACAGTTCATCATGTTAACATGCGATTTACACAGCTCTCCTAATTAGACGCAGTGGCAGTCATGTCTGTGGATTTTCCCCTTTATGACAACTCACTTGGCCAAGTGGGGAGCAGCAAGTGGGGGGACGCGTCTGTGGCGTGGTCCCCAAATACCCTGCCTGCTGCACAGAGGCTGGGGCACACATCTTTTTAAAAAATGTTTATATTTTAGGGAAGGGTCTGTAGGTTGTTCAGGGTTTCCCTACTAGATCGGACTCATAGTGATCCGCCAGTCTACAGCCTCCCAAGAGCTGGGACTACAGGTGCGCATCACCATGCCCAGTCTCAATTGCTGTCTCAGGGGATTGAACCCCTGGTCCCTGCGCCTGCTTGCAGATCTTTTAATCTGCTGAGCTATTTGGCCAGCCCTGCATGCACATTTTTAAAAGGAAAGAAGAAACTGAGGAACGGCTGCCAGGCCCTTTCCCAGGGGCTGTTCCAGTGCAGCTGAAGCGGGGCGTGGGGGTGGGCAGATGCAGTCCCACTGGGACCCTGCCTGGTGGGACAGAGCTCTGGCTGGGACACAGATGGGCTTCTTGGCTCCCCAAGGCCTGGCTGTGGCCATGGACCTCCCCTGCTCCCTGGACCTGGAAAGGGCTTTCTCAACCCTCAGTGGTTGTACTGCTTGCCACCAAATCACCACAGCCAGGTTGCCAACTGCTCAAGACAGTCACAGGGCCCACTTCCAGCTCTTCCCTGGAGGGCCAGTGGGAAGAGCAAGGAGCTGGGAGCACTGCATGCACCCCAAGCTGTGGCGATAGCACCTCACCCCAGCAAACCCCACGGTGCTGTCCCTTTCGGCAGCTCCTCCTGTCGCCCTTACCCCAAGGCCCCGTGGCCCCTGTAGCAGCCTTGGCCCACATTCCCAGGGCCAAGACCCGTGTCTCCTTACAAAGTCACCCCCAGTTCCACTCTGATGTGCTGAAATGCCACATCTCCAAGTGGACACCCTCACCTCACGCCTGGGTGAGAACACAGCCTTGGAGCATAAGGCGGCTTCTCCAGTGGAGCCTCAAGCTGAGAGCACTACCAGGAGGAAGGAGATCCGGGAATGGACAGCAGTGTCTGCGGGCGGCTCACGAGGCCCTGGGGCCCAAGCTGCTGCCCAGCCACGGCAGGGGCAGGAGTCCCGCACGCCAGCTGTGGGCACGCTTGGCTTTCTCAGCCTCTTCTTGGGTTTTAGCTTCTATGCCCGTGGGGTCAACGCTGTGGTCCTCTTGGATGTGGCCTCTCGTGTGTCCATGTTGTCCCCTCTTCAGCTCCCAAGCCGTAATACCCCTGATGTCCCTGCAGTGTGCCACTGTGGCATGGGCTTGTTAGGTTGACAACAGCTTCTCTGGCTTCTGCGGGTCTGTGGAAGGCTGGTGGGGTCCCTCTCTGCCCAAGACATACTGTCACACAGGGCAGGCACCCCAGGAACTCAGTGGGTCAAGGCTTGAAGCCCAGCCCCAAGCTTGAACTGTGCCATGCCCCACGGTGACTCGGCCTTGGGTCACAGGCTTCACCTTCATCAGCCTCACTCTGTCTCATGGGCACGGGACAGAAACAGGGAGGGGACTCTTGCCTCAGATCGAACATCAGGGGCAGGCGCCATCAGGACTACAGAAGGAAGCAAATCCTGAGCTTTGTCCCCAGCGGCCCGGGAAGGAGGATGGTGGTGCAGCGCTGGCCCCGCATCGGCCCTGGCCCAGCTCCCTCCAGGCTGCTTAGTCCCTGGGACAGTGCGGGCAGGGGCGCCTCCTCGCGTCTCACTACCTGATCACTGAATCTCTTATGGGTTTTCAGTGTATGCTATTGGGGAGCATCTTGCCAGCCACGTGCAAGCCCTGGACAGACAGCGTGAACCACTCAGCAGGCGGGGTGGCCCAGCCCCTGCTCGGCTCTGGCCAGGCCCACCTCACAGCGTGGTGACAGTGCCGTGCCTCCAGGGGCATGCTCCAGGCCCTGACCTGCCCAGAGGACACCTGCGATGAGCTGTGCACAGGGCCGAGAGGTGTCCCTGTGGGGCCAGGGCAGAGGCGGTTCCCCAAGATCCTGCGGGCTCTGCGGATCTCTTGCTCCCTTCTAGTGGCGATGCCCAGAACTTGCACCCCCACTCCTTTTGGGGGGCCTTTCATAGTTGTACCTTTAAAGGGAGCCTACAGATACAGCTTACTTATTCTTTTGCTTGGGAGATACCTGATACTCTTCAATAAAATGTAAAATAGAAAACACCACAATCCGCCCCGGCAATCTACTTCCTGCTTGGTGGTTGGACATGGGTACAGGATTATTTCTGGCCTGTTGTCCTCTGTGTCAGAGCAGTGGGTCCCAGGTCACCAGCACGCATGGGCCTGGGCCCCACTTGGGTGCTCACGCTGGACCTCGGGCATCCTCTCCCGATGGGTCAGTCTGCTGGTCTGTAGATGGGGAGGGGCCAGCCTAGGCCTCTGTGAGCACCAAGAACGTGATAGGTATCTTGTGCCTGAGACAGAGGCCCCCAAATCCTTCCTGAGAGCACATGTCTCACGGTTACCCTCAAGGGTGCACCTGGCCTGTGACCACTCAGCTGGAGAAGGATGTGGCTTAGCTGTCTGCCTGGGCCTGCGCTGACCCTGGGGTCACTGAGCTGCTTCCTGGCCTGATGCACGACCTTTTATAGTTAAGATTATCATGAAGGTCTTCTTGCCCTTCCCAGTGTGCTTTTGTGGCAGCTCGGCATTGGTTGGAAAGGCAGATGTGCTAGCAGTGTGCTGGGCCCACCAGGGGGCTCAGAGCCCAGGTGGAGACTTAGGGGGGGCCTCACAGCTCTCAAATCTTCCAGGACCCTGGCTGAGCGGGCCTTCTAGGGGGCCCTCCCCCTCCTCGCAGACTCAGCCCCCCAAGGTGACATTGTAGGCCCTCTGCTACCTGGGCAGCTGCAGCCCATGGTGTGGGGGCATAGACTCCGAATTGGGTTGTGGAGCCTTCCAAAGCAGGGGGCGCAGGTGAGATGCCCAGGACAGCCTGCGGCTGGGGTAGGAGGCCACGGTGCAGCCTCTGCAGGTGAGTCCCCAGCAGGGCAGCACCCTGTTTGCTCCGAGCTCAGTGAGTAGCCCCTGGGTGCCAGGAGCCACCTGCTCAGGATAGGCACAGGCAGGTGGCACTGCTTCTCCCTGCTGGCTGGGTGCTGCGAGCTGGGGTGGGCACTGGTCTTCCCGGCCCCTGGCATGTGCCCAGCAGGGGGGAGGGGGCAGGAGCCTGGAGCAGGCCCTGTTCTTGCTGGGCTCCTTTCCTCTCCACTCCCCTGGGGCAGGCAGTAGGGACCACAGAATGGTGGAGGGGCCTGGCTTACTCAGCCGCCCAGGGTGGTAGGAGGGCAGGGAGGTCATAGAACTTGCCTGGGGAAGTGACCAGGGCTGCCCCATCTGTGCCCAGGATGTGGCACAAGGGTGTGCAGCTGCTGGGCAGGGTGCCCGCCAGGGCAGCTCTCCAGGCAGGTGCTCAGGTCCCAGGTGCTCCGCTGGAGCTCTGCGGTGGCTGCACCCCAAGAACCATAGGCGGGAGGCTCACACCTGTTTTCCCCACCTGTTGTACACCCCAGTGGGGTCTCTGCTGGGCCCCTCGCATGACGCCTGCTTGGTGACTTTCCCAGAGCAGCTGTTGTGCACTGCCCTACCTCCCCACGCATCCCACCCCAGGTCCTTACCTCGCGGTCCAGGCCGGCCGCCACTGTCACAAGGTCCCCGGTCTCACTGTTTATGGTAAACATGTTCTGCGACGGGCTCTGTGGGGTCTGGGTCACAATGCGGTACCGTACCATTCCGTTGGCCGTGGTGCTGTCATCAGCGTCATTGGCTGTGACTGTCATCACATAGGTTCCTGGAATGGAGACAGCAGCAGGTGAAGCCGCCTGACACATGGCTCTGTCCCGCTGCATGGCCTGGGGTCACCACATGCCTGGTGCAGCTGCAGCCTCCCTGCTGGTTGCTGCAGGCCTGCCTGTCCTTCATGGGTGTCCGGAGCAAACCTGTTGACACCCAGCCCCAGGGAATCACGGAGGGATTCCCTATGCTCAGCACACCCCGGCTGTTTTTGCCCTGAGCTTCTCCTTTTCAGCCAGGGTAGAAATGGGGTGGCGGGGACCTTCTCCATGTCTCTAGAGCACGGGACAGCGGAACAGGCCTAGAGCCCCACACCTAGCCCTTCTCTGGAGCCACTTGGCCCAGGCATGGGGCACAGGCATGGCCAAGGCACAAATGGCTCCTGTGGGCTGAGGCTCATTCACCAAACACTGCCGAGCACCTACTGTGTCCTGCGCTGTAGCTGGCAGGAGGCCCTAGCCGTGCAGCTCCTCACAGCCTGTCCCCTGGTGCGGGGGACAGGGCTGGGCCAGGTGTCCACACTGCCGGGAGTCCTGCCTGGGCGTAGCACATGCTAGATGGCTCACATTGATGGCCTTGAGGTCTCCTGGGGACACTAGAGGCTTCAGTGGGTCACGGTCAGAGCCTTCCCTCATTGAGGAATGTTACGGCTTGTGTCTAGTTGTTCCCTCAATGCCTCCTGCAGTCATGGGTGGACTTCTAGTTTATGATTAACTCTTGATCCACTGGGGTTATGGACGTGAGTGCTGCT